AACATTCCAAAATTACAATTATAAAATTTGAAAAATTCTTCACCGTATTATGAAGTTTTCGAACTTCCAAAAGAAAAAAGGTTTGACGTATTTTGATATTGAATCAAAAATACAATACAAATTGAAGAACCCACAATAAGGACCAGTGTTATGAGCAAAATCGAATTGGACTGAACCGACCTGGCCCGGCCCGGCCCGTTTCCATCGCAGGTCAAATTGGGCCTATCGCGCCAACGAACAACCGAATTGATTGCAATCAACTACAAGAAATAGAGGTCGTCGTCATCAGGATCACTCATGATCAGGCCATTCGCCAAGGTAAGCTCCTCTCACGATTCTTTCTTCGTCTTCGATTATGTCGATTGCATTCAATCAGTCATCTTCCTCGGTTACTTGCTTCACTTATCGATTCGCGTTTTCACCTGAAGGAAGAAGACCCCAGGTGGTTTCATTTCAATCTTATAGATGTCATCGACCCGGATTTTTATTGGGTGTTCGATTTTCATCTGGAGAAGTTTCGTGGGTTTTTTCCAATGTTTGTGTTGTGTGGTGTATCGTCTCTCGAATCCTGTCTTCTTGATTCTTGTTTTCTGCATGGTTTGTCAAGACATTTTGCTTAATCTCTCTGTGGATTAACTGGCTTAAGTTCGTGCAAGATGCAATGTGAGTCTCGATCCGGTTTATGTGTTGATTAATGGGTGTGAATGATCAGTGAATTCTGTATTTCGCTTGGCGAGTAACTTTCATGTGGTATGATCGATGTTGGTTGCTTAGGCGATGGGGTTGATTCTTCATCATCGTTTTGAATTAGTACATATTCTTTCACAATATACTAATATTGGCACGTAAATTCACACATAATATTTTCATTATCTTTTTTTGCGATAACTAAAATTTTGGTGGGATAGCAAAAAAAGTTGTTAACTTTTAAAAAGCATAAACGAATGTGCTCATAGATATCGTTGATGAACGCATATATCACATAGACAACTCGACCACAACACTGACAAATGTATCAGACAGTTTGATAGCAACATCGATAAGCATTGATATCTAGTGAGACACATTTGGAACTTAGGGTTGATGTGCCTGTCGCTACATTACATGCCCGGTTTGAACTTTTGCCTTTAGCAGGTATTGAACCCATGCTTTTACTGTGTATTTGCATTCTATTGTGTAGAACATAATCTGATCACCTCAATGACTTGAAAACCAAGATTTATTAGAGAGGAATATAAGAGCAAACTTATAATGAACCAAACATAGATGTTTGAGTATAATAGGATACTACATATTGCACACCACCTCACTGGTCCCAATTAAAAAAAAACTATATGTGCCTCTGTCAACTGTCTTATAAGGGATGCATTCATTAAAATACGTGGTAAACCGGCGTCCCGTCGGGATAGAATAGCCCGAAATTTTGCTCGATGCCGGCAGGTTTCTGATTCTCATTGAACATGGCGAAGATGAAACCTCCCAAGCTACGGTCCGGATGCTTAGGCGTCCCGGCATTGGCCTGAAACCTCTTCACAAGGTTCTGGTTATAAGTCTGTGCAAGCTCTGGAGTGGTGAGGTTACCGTTTCCAGCCGAAGGCCAGCCGCTCTCGGAAACCACCAAATCCACACCGGTCACACCTTCCTTCTCCATCGCCCAATAAAAGGCGTCCACGACCGCGTCGAGCAAGTTCGAGTAACTCAAGGAACCATCCTGAACCACCGGGGTGGTCGCGGTGAATTGAGCGTAATCCAATCTCACGTTGGCCGGATCGGAGGCGTACGCAAAGTATGGATAAACATTAATCATCAATGGCGAGCCATTGCTTGACAAAAATTTTATGATTCCAACCATGTCGGCACGAGCCGCATCAGCGAATGTGGAGCTCGACGGCGGGTAAGAAGTCCCTAAGGTAGAAGCCGCGACCACAGTGGTGATCCGCATACCACTGTATCCATAGCCATTAACAACACTCTGTAGATTCTGCATAGCTGGAAGTACGAACTGAGCTAAATTTCCAGGGACCACTTCGTTACCGGCTGAAAGATACGTAATTTTGACACCACTCATGTACGGTTGCACGTTGGTGTCGAACCATGCCTTAGCCGCATTGACGCTCGACGCGATGCTTTGTAAATCCCCATTGTTGGTGCCCAACGTGACCTCTATCCCGCTGCCTCTCAGTGCAGCGAGTGCGGCAGCGTTCGGATCAAAGAGCCGCAGTTTCCCGATGTTGTAGCGCTGGTAGAGTTGGACCACAGCCGCCGGAGAAGGGAGGTTGTCCCCGATCATCCCGTAGCACACGCCGACGTCGAGCCGCGCCTCCGTGATCGCCATTTGGTGGTGAAGAAAACCGAATGTAAATAGCATGAGAATGATATTGACCAATGCCATCTTTGGGATTGTTGTTGCCCTACTCCAAACACATAAAAATTTATCATCAGTCAGTAATCCAAGACCTAAAAAATAATAGTAATATCAATCCGATGCTAATGTTTTCCCAACAATGACCAAAAAAACACGAGAATTAGTTTCTTCTATATAAAAAACATCGCCATATGAGAGAAGAAATATGCAAAAGCTCGCAGGTAATGCTCGAAGCGAAGCTAACAATTTCATGAGCTCGGAGTTTACCTACGATGCACTTAGCTTCTGCTGCCCACCTTGTTCTTGCTCTTGTTCTTGTTCTTGTGTGTGTGTCACTCTCTATATATACTGGTAACTATATATTATACAGATAAGGCCATAATATATATGAAAATTTATTGGAAGAAACAGGAGCCCGTCCATGATTCACATTGACGTTTACGGACATTAAAACATATATCTCGAATTTCGTTTGAGGTAAGAAAAGATTTCGTCCTAAAAAAAAAAGGTACGAAAATATTCTGACAATATAACAAATGTTCACAGATGCCGTATAAAAAGATCAAGGAAGGGATAATAATTTGCAAAATTAGAACCCGCATGAATTAGAATCCTATAACTGCATGATACAATGTGAATATTGCAAAGTGGCCTTACCTCTTTTTATCATGATTCACGTTTCCATCGTGGGCAATATACATTTCCAAAGTGGCCTATGTGTTTTTTGAAAACGAAAAGGCTATTTCTTATGTGGAAAATAGCGGTGGGGTGTAAGAATCTATCAATTGATTTTCCATGACTGGATTATACGAAAAAGGTAATTACATATCGTACGAACTAATTAATAAGGCAGTCGATTATTATTATTCTTTTGGTCCGACGATTTTGCTTGAGGAAAAAAAGTTGAATTCGATTGGTTTATGCAGAGCCATAAGCAAAGACTCTTGGCTTTGATCAAATGCACTTTGAACCGAAGGGCTTTGTCTAGATTCAAAGTCATGTCTCCGAGCTCCCCCAAGCATGCCATCTCCTTCAATTTGGAAGAACTATAGTTTGTGGAACCAACTAAAAGCCAAGAAGACCTTCTTTTTAAGCATATATAACGAAAGAAAAGAATTTATACGCATAGATAACAGATCAAGGATAGATTAAATTGAGGGAGGTGGTATGTGATTTATTTTGTTTTTTCCTTTTGTCCAGTTATTATGCTCTATACATGGTGCACCAACCACCGATATTATCCAGAATCACTATAGGAAGGTTGCGCCTCTCTATCTCATGCACGCGCACACAAGAGCATAGACTACAAAGAAGGACGCCATTTGCGATGTCTTTTTGAAAATCTTATGCTTCTAACCATATGAGACATTTTCTCTTTCCCTTTCTTTGTAATCCAGAGTCACGAGCGTGGATAACTGAGTACCTGAAAATTCTCCAAATAGAACACCTTATAAACCTTGTGAAACTACATATCTTTGGTCTATGCGGTTCGGTTTTGACCCAAAGTAGTGATGGAATTCGAGCACGTGGCCTGTAATTCCTAAACTGCATAATCCTCTATTGTCCTAATCAATTACGCCAGCTCTGAAGGGTTCTGAAAAGGATTTTTTAGGTTTGCTAATAGCTTGAGCAATGACTATTTCCCAAAGTGAAGCTTTTGATTGCACAAAATTAATTGGCTCTTTTGGCCAACTCGAAACGCATCTATTGTGTCTAAAAGAGTGCTAGTTATTGGAGTGATAAATAGATTGAACGAGAACCTTACTAGGCACTACAAACAAGCCTACGAGTTGAAAAATAATAATACAAGCCCACCCCTTAACTATGCCTTTCAAGTATAGTTTTGTCAATTCCAATGGCATCAGAAGTACACAAAAGAAATCACTAATAAGCAAATTTAGAAAAGTCATTAGCGGTATCCTCAAACATCTCGATTGGGGCTATACCCTGTTTTCTCATCCCTTTTATCTTGCTGGTCGTCGAATCCGTCATTTGAACCAAAACAATTAGGATCAATACCATTAAAAATCTCAAACTAGTATAGTATCCCATGGCACTCCGATCTAATTTTCATTTCACAAAAAAATCAGCCCTGACATTTTAATTAGGTAGGTATTAGTCGGGCCAAGTTCATACATTGCAGTTAACTTTAATATCCCAAAATCAGACGAGCCACCCTTCACTCTCTCTCGAGTACAAGCATAAGTCCAAGATTACAATTATAAAATTTGAAAAATTCTTCACCGTATTCCGATGTTCCTGAAATTCCAAAAAGAAAAAAGGTTTGGAGTATTTTCATATAGAATCGAAAGGGCTAATTCCAAAAAAAAAATCTCCAACTTTACCTTTAGTGACGATTCTGGCCCAAACTTTTTTTGTCTCAATGCTTTTAATTGAGTCCCAAATCTGGCTACCATGATGTGAAATTTTCAAATTGTTCGGACCAGATTTGAGATTTAAGTGAAAATTGATGATTTTTTATGAGACAAAAAAGAAATTTGGACCAGAATTGTCACTAAAGGTAAAGTTGGAGATTTTTTTTTTTGGGAATTGACCCTGAATCGAAAACACAAATACAAATTGAAGGCTGCAAAACCGAATTGGACCGAACCGGCCCGGCCCGGCCCGTTTCCGTCGCGGATCAAACTGGGCCTATCACGCCGACGAACAATCTCAACTCGAATTGATCGCAATGAACTGCAAGATATACAAGTGGTCATCGTCGTCGTCAGGGTCACTCGTGGATCAACCATTCGCCAAGGTGAGCTCTTCCCATGATTCTTCCTTCTGTCTTCGATTGTATCGATCGCATTCGATCGGGTCCATCTTCCTCAGTTGCTCGCTTCGCTCATCGACTTCGCGTTTCCACTTGGAAGCAAGAAGAACCCAGGTGGTTCGATTTCAATCTTGTAGATGTCACCGACCCGGATTTTTTCTTGGGTGTTCGAATTTCATGTAGAGGAGTTTTGGGTTTCTCCCATTTTTGTGTTGGGCTGGTGTCCGATGATCTTGTTCGTCTCTCGAGTCCTGTCTTCTTGATTCTTGTTTTTCTGCATGGTTTGTCTAGACGTTTTGCTTGATTTCTCTGTGGATTAGCTGGCTCGAGTTCGTGCAAGATTTGATCAGGTTTATGTGTTGATTAATGGGTGTGAATGATCAGGGAATTCTGTGTTTCGGTTGGCGATTAACTTTCATGTGGTGTGATCGATGGTTGTTGCTAAGGCGATGGGGTCGATTCTTAATCATCGTTTTGTATCAGTACATGTTCTTCTTCCTCTCTGCTAATTGGCGCTCCTCGTTGTGCTCATCTAGATACTGAATTACTGATATTTGACAAAAGAAGAGTTGGGATTACTTTATTCTGGCAATGGCTCAGTTTGATGAATCCATCAGGGGTCAGATCCAAGCGCTTCTGCGGGTTATGAATTTAACTCGATGTGTTAATGAAGACAAGGTTCTGTGCAAAATCGAAGAGGTATGCAACTTACGGCGGTTTTTTTGGCACTTTACCTCAATCTATTGTTCATGCATTAGGTTGGTTGTCGCGTTCGTTTTGTGTTCCTTTGCTACTTTTGTTTGATGGATGCTGCTGCTGATGTTGTTTCATGTGATTGACGTTAAGGATCTGTTCTTGGGATCTGTTGGCGCTGCGAATAACAAAGATGATCTTAAACGCCTTAATGTGACGCACATATTAACCGTGGCTAGTACGTTGAAACCTGCATATCCAGACGATTTCGTGTATAAAGTCATTGCAGGTACTTATTTTCTTGTATTGGATGTTTTTCCTTAATAGTTGCAACAAGCACACAATGTTTGTCCGCTATATTTTGGCTTCTTTCCATATAAATTCCACAAGTTCGGCGCAATCCGATATGTTTGAAAAGGCAAATAATAATTAGACTTGAATTACAAGTTGTGAGATAGTGCAATCCAAGGCACAATGCTTTTGTTTTTTGTTGTAAAGTTATATACGTTGGAGGCAAATATTCCGTTTTAATCTTCATAAACCGAAGTTAATACTTATTTGGATAGATCATCTTTGTCATTGACCAATGGAACTAAAGTATTTGACCTGGTTATTTTGTTGCAATTTTTTTTTTGATTGAGGTAGTCGGGGATAGGGAAGACACAAACATAAGAGAACACTTTGATGAGTGCTTTGAATTTATTGATGAAGCCAAGAGATTGGGTGGAGGTGTGCTGGTTCATTGCTTCGTTGGGAAATCCAGAAGGTGATTCTCCTATTACATTTGGGATGATATCTTTTATTAACATTGTCAGGGCATAGTTCATGTCTACTCAGACAATATTCTTTACTACATCATTTTCAGTATGTATTTTTCTTGGTCAGACTTTTTTCAGTATACATGAACAGCATTTCAATTGTCATTTTAATGTGGTTGACATCGGGATTGAGTCCATGTGAAAATGACTAATAACGTCGATGCTGTCTCCGACTATGGCTATTGTGATCGTGGGAGATATATCTTTCCTGTAGGGAATCTTTTGAATTAATAGGTCTGTTCAGGCAAACTTTTTTACTTTTTCATGATGTTTGAACTGCTTTACAAGGATCTTTTTTATGAAGTTGACGTTGGGAATTGGTCCATGTGAAGATGACTATGAAATCACGATCATCCCGACACACATTTGAACAATGTAGGAGATAAATCTTTTGACCTTTCAATGTTTTGCTCTCGTATCAGCTCCCACCATCAAATGAAATGTGAATGCTATTTCTGCCTGTCTTTGAAAGGACATGTTATAAGGTTTTTCAGATTCTTGAAACAATTTGACTTTGTCAGCATTACTATCTCCATAGAGCCAATAGTTTCGTATGAGGAATTACCGTCACTCTGAATTTTTCTATTTCTATCTTGTAGAGGTACTCATTAATGCAATCATTCTTCGCCTTCTAGGTTTCCTCACAAACCTAATTGGCTACTTTATGTACATAACTTAGAAGTTACTTCAAACCTCATCTAAAGGCTCCCAAGATCATTTTTGTGGATACAAATTCATCATATATGTATTCATCTTTTCAATTAAATACCTGAATGGATTAGAAGAATAAACATACTGGTTACGATTTACGTGTCAGCATTTATGTCTGAAAGGTCAAGTGCCATAAATGATACTCCGGACTACAGACAAACATGGAATGCTAGTTGCTATTTAATCTTACTGGATTTCTTGGAACTTCCTATTCTGATATATGCTGGACTTTGACTTTAATTGCCTGCTAAAGCTATGATTACCTTTTTACATTGTTAATCATTAATTAGATTTGTGATTTATCGAACTAAAGATGTGTATTTTGCAGTGTTACAATCGTTGTTGCTTATCTCATGAAAAAGCATGGCATGAGCCTTTCTCAAGCTTTGGAACATGTGAAGAGCAGACGGCGACAAGCATCTCCTAATTCTGGTTTCATTTCACAACTGCAGGAGTATGAGAAATTTCTGCAAGGTGCCTAATCATTGTCAATACTTGTTGCATTTATTTTCATGCATTGATAAGCGTCTATCCGACATGAACGAAAAGGGGAAACTGTAGTTCACTTTTGGGTAACATATAGAACCTGGTTGTGCATTCTTACTCCATTCATGTATTAGGTGTTTACAATTAACATCCTAAAGTGTCACTGCATAATTTGTGCACAGTTTTTTGGCACTTACTTGAAAGTCATATGCAGATTCATGACAAAAGGTATTATGTCATTTCAAATAGCAAACTCTTTATTGCCATCTCGTTATGCATGTCAAAATATAGTTTCTCTTTTGTAAATCTTGTAGAATGAACGTTGCAGTTTCTTATTCTGGAAGGCAAAAGAGTGGAGGAGAAAGCAGACTTATGAATGCATGCTACTCTAAGAAAAAAGAAAATTTCGAGAAGGCTTTGTCAAAAAATGTTGATTACTTGAATAAAATATTCCTTTCGCACGTCACATAGGCCAGTTGTTCCGTGCATTAGTTCTTTTAAACAAAATACTTTGTCATGTTTGATTACCCCAACATATCATCTGCCAAAGTAGGTCTTTTAGCTTGATTTTTTTTATAACACCTAAGATCTTAATCGCAGCTTATGCATAGAGGCCTCCATTAATATGTCCATGATTCGATTGTTCTACTGTATTAACAATTTTGTTTCCCAGGTGTATGAGCAAGCACATAGAGGTGAGGAGAATGGGATGAATACAGAGACATTTCTGCGCAGTCTTGCCGCACCTATCCTGCAATTTGTTTTGGTATTGAACTTCATATCAAATAAGCATCTTGTAAATAGAGAACTTGAAATGCAGATCACATTAGTGTGAATATTAAAGATACCGGTAGAAGAGTTAAATCAGGTTTATGACAACGCCGAAGAAAAGTAGGCTGGAAAGATCAATTTTTTTTGCTTTTAGGTGTAATGCAGGGGAACTCTTGAAAGATCGTCGAACTAAGAAGCTTGAATCCGTCCTGACAGTCGATTTCTGCATGATCCACCTTTAAGGTTACTTTTGTTATTTTGCCAATTTGTGAAGAACAAGGTATTCGCGAAATATGTAAGTTATACTCTTGATAGTCTCTAGCCTGAATTGAGACTGCAAATTTCAGGCCTTTGATCAATAATTAATGCATGTTGGTACAATTTGCTCTAGTGTTTGGAGTGTTGAAATATTTGCAAGTGAAGAGCTTGCAGTTCCTGTGGTCTTAAATGATGTTTTCGCTGGAGAATTCTAGGTTTCTCTTATCCCTTCACTGAAAGAGGTTATAGCATAAACCGTAGCTTATTGTCTAAACCTAAAACATCTTCTATCTCGTGTGGTGTTAGACTCTCTTGCAAAATCAAATTGATCTGTAGATATGATGTATATTGCATCGATTTGGTGTAATAGTCTCTACGTTATGCCTTTGATAACTTAGAAAAGATGCCGGAGGATGGCGATGCTCCACGTGAATGTCGACAGATGATGTATGACCAACTACACAATCTTGAGATGCAAGATGCACGGCGCTAACTTCATTACGAGCAATTTTAGCTGAATATATATGATGTGGCATGTAGTTAACGTGAAAAATAAACATATCAAAACGGTCATAAATCCATTTATTAACCTATATTGGATGGCTCAAGTTGTTGTATGGGTTAATAATATTCGGTAAATAGGTCATAAATGGGTTTAAAATTTTAAAGCTCAAAATAATATAGGTGTTTAATGGGTTCACAATTTGCTTAGACTCAACCCATTTTTATGACTTTCTTTTCATTTTTTTTCGCTCTCATTCGATCTTGCGCTTGTTCACTCCTTGTCGAGTTTTCCTAAATTGGATTTAATATGAAAGTGTTTTAGCAATATCGGTCGAGTCAGATATAAATCGAGTATGGGTCACTAAATTTGTATTGCATGGAAATTGATCAAAACGGGTTAAATTGACCAACTTAGATTGGATCATTTTCGACTTGACTCGGTCCACTCATTTGATGGGTCTAATGAAAAAACAAATGCCTATTTTCTGGATTTCTAGCAATGGACGAAAATTGGACATTTCTATGGTGGATGACAATATCACATGGTACATTCCTGTACCTCGAAAGTTTTGGATAACTCAGAACTTTGTTTGTTCTTCACTTTCTTGAAGTAATTGTTAATTCTATGATGGATCCCCGGAAAGATCTTCCTCTTCTTTCAATGCATGGTCGAATCTTTGACTTTAGAGTGCGAACACTCAACATGGCAACTGGGACTCTGTCTAGTCTGTGTCTCTCTTTTTGAACGAAGTTTCTTCGAGAGTTGGCAAAATGCGAAAAGAGCATTGAGCATTTTGAGAAATAAAGGGGGAATAAAGAGATAACCTCCGCGGCAAATCATATAAAGCTTTCGTCGTCTCGTGAGGAAAAGAAAAGGGAAGAAGAAACAAATTGATAAAGAACCAAACTAACAACGCATCAGATTTCGCATTTCTCCTAAGAACCAGAGTTGGGTTTCAAAAGAGACATTTAAAAAACAAAAGAAATGTCGTTCAATTCGGATATAAACTTGTTATAGTAGATCTCACATTATTTAAATACGGGATTATGACGAGCATCATACGTATAAGGTCATCTTTTTCACTATCTTTACCTTTTGTTTAAATTCGTCGTGTGAACTCTGTAACATAAATTCCGAGGATTGAGTCTTATTTCGATCATAATCTTGTTCATTTCTTTTCAAATTCTTCGACTGTACGTATTTTTTCATACAACAACGTATAGAGTAGATGTTTGAGATTTAGCCAATGACTCGAGCAAGGATCAAAGCCCGAAGAAATCGATAGGCCTGAGGATAGGCTTGACACAGCGTCCGAAGAGCCGGGGCTTGGGATGGACCCTGGTTTTTGGCCACGGGCTAGGCACCCGGGAGATGCCGTGAGTCGTGATTTAAAGCCTATTTTTTGAGATACACATCAAATCCTCTTTTGAATGTTTCTAAGGTCTCTCTATCAGGAAAGCACCTGAGAAATTGAGTGAAACATCGGGTGAAGATTGATTGGTTGTGATCAAGGCTTAGGTGTGAGAGAGTTTTCTTTTTTTATTTAAGCTTGTAATCTTCATTGTTAATAATAGATTCATCGCTACCGCTGCGGCTTCCCTAGTGGAGTACGTACACCCACTAAGACCAAGTTAAGTACATCATAATGCGTGGATTTCTCTCTTTCTCATTTATTTCTCCATTTATCTCGTAATATTTGATCGATTGTACGGTCCTCTTTACACAACAAATTTCATTTTGGTTTAGGCATAAAAATGGATGTAAAATCATGCACACTACGAATCCTGAATAACTGACATTAGATGTGGTAATTCTCAGCACACAACGATAAAACAATATGAATTTATTGAAAGAAATTAATATCGACACAATTTAACGTGAAAATGACACGGGTGACACATTTTCATCCATTTTTCAACGTAAATACTTCGTAATCACGTAGAAACATTCTTAATGACACAAATATAATACAGAAACCACAGTTTTAAACCAAAGTCGAATCGCCCGGTTGAACCATTTAAATCGGAAACCATATCATTGCTAGACTTTTCTTTGGTGATCATCATGGTCAAGAACCGGTTAACCCCGGAGCTAATCGGTTCAGGTCAGCCACGACGGCAGTAAGGGGATCGAACCCGTAACCGCAAGCATGTACGCCTAGCTCTAAACCAACTGAGCCGGGAGAATGTTCGCTCTACGGCGATTGAATTGGAAGCCAGATCGGTTCCTGACCGGTCCGGATTGAATAACATAGAAGGAAACATGAATGGCTTGCCCAAATTTCGACTTGATTTCTGAAGAAATGCTTCAGACTCTCGGAAGAGGGGGTAGCTTGTCTTTCTTGTGGCTCGTGTGCGTGGGAAACCAGGAAACGAAACGCTTTGCGCCGATCGATGGACCACGACGGAGGAGGATTTGTTTTAATCGCCCGACGGTACGGAAAGTTCCACTTTTGAGGGTTTGTGTTCCCAAATTGTCATCATTATGTTGAGCAAACCACTTTCAAATTTCGCAATAATTGTTTCTCTATGCCGACGGCCGCTTTATATGCTAAAGTCGATGAGCCGGGCCAACTTTTCACGCCCAATAATTTTCTGGGTGCGTTATTCTTGTTTATTGCCATCTTCGCTGCCTGTTTAGTCTCAAGGGACTGTTCTACAAATCCCCGATGATCGGATCTTTGGAGACCGGCGGTCGTCCGATCGTAAGATAAGAAATCTCGACCATTTGTTTATGAAGAGTTTGTGCGGTACGATGTTTTGTATAGGAGATACGATGAAATGCACTTAGATGCAATGTTTTTAGAACGATAGATATGAGGGACCATAGATTTCCCTTTTATTCTTAGGGCTATTTGTTTAGCATTAGCAACGAGTAAAGAGATATTTATAGTTTTTTTCTTTCTTGTCAAAATTTGAAATATATACAAAAGTTCTAAAGATTATGATTTAAATCATATGTGAACCTACGTATAAATATTCAGATGTTGTGAAACTTTATGGTCTTCCGAGTCACAAAAAATTAAAAAATGTGTGCACCCCAATATTTAGGGTTTGTTTGTGAGATTTCTCAAAAGTTAAAAGTAACCTTTTTTATTTTTCCACCGATATCTAAAAGGATAAAAGTCATCAAAAATCATAAACTATGTCCATTATGACACATTCACTCTAAATTTTTTTGTGATACCAAAAATCTCAAATTTGTACTTCTGTAACACATTTATCCTTCATCAAAATTCTGTCAACGAGAATCGTTAAAGGTCTGCACACATGAACGCCAGAAAGCAAATAATGTTGACATAATGCCCACATGACTTAGGTGAAATAAAAAGAAATTTATTTTGGCTGAAAAATCATCTCACGAAACTTTTGACGGATGGTAAATATGTCACATGGGTATAAGTTTGAAAATTTTTATGTCACAAGAAAAATTTTAAGGTAAATGTATCACAGTTGGCATAGTTTTTGGGTTTTTGATGTCACAAAACAAAATTCGGAGTAAAAATGTCACAATGAGTATAATTTGTGGTTTTTCATAGCTTTTTCCTACCTAAAATGTTATTCAAACTTTTAAAAATAATGAATTATATATTGTTGAATTCTCAAGTTTTTAAGTTAACAAAAAAGTCGTAGTGCGCACGTCACAAAATTTGGAAAGTAAAATGTAAAAAAGCGAAAGTAAAAGTCACTCCAAATGAAGTGTTGGATTAAAAAAAATAAGAAGTAAAACTCAATCTAGCCACCCGTAAACAAAAAGTCAATGGTGCTTTTAGGGTTTAATGAAATTTTCCTTCTTCCAATCTTGCCTTCATAAATTTTTTATGTATCCTCCTCGGTTATTGTTCATCTTCTCTCTCCTAGTTGACTCCTTTTCAATAGAAAGGAATAGCCAAACCAACTCATCTTTTTGAATCAAAATAGCGGGGGCCTTGCACTCACAGATATTGTTCTTCATCTCGCTCCGGATGATTTGCTAAAACGTGGACATGGTGGTGAAAGTTACATGAAGGTTAGTGAATTGGTGGTGAGGAAGGGTGATTTTAGTGGTAATGATTGAGTTTTTTCTTCTGAGAGTAGAGGTTTCAATTTTGAGCGTTGAAATATGACTGTATGAAGATGAGAGATTTTTGGCGCTGAAGCCATTATCAAGAGATTTCTTGATCTCGGCATCGATTCGCCTAGCCTTTTCGATGGTTCAAACGTTATTTTTCTATTTATTTTTTTGATCAACAAAGTTACTTTGCAAAAGATTCACCAAAAGTCACCTAATTACTGAGTAAATGTACCTTAAAGTCAAAGATCTTTGAGAAAATGACTTTGCATTTCTCAAAACCTCTCCCAAACGCACCCTAGGCAGGTGATAGTGTTGCGCGATTGAGGTAGAGATTTGTAACCATGACAATGGGCTGCCACTTTAAAGGAGAGCTGTGAACATTGAAGTGGAATCGAAAAAAAAAAAGAAAAAACGAAAAGAAAAGAGCAAATCAGGATCATTAATATATCATAAAAGTAAATGCATCATCATCCTCTCTACTCAGAAAAGTAAACTGAAGATGGAAATTCTTTCCTTAAATAAAGTGGATCCCAATCCAGTATCATTTGCATCACATTGTCCTTGTAAACTTA